GCTTGCTATAACATATGTTATTAGATGCACCATTGATTGTTCTGCCGCATGGATAATGAATAGGACAAAAAGTAAGTAGCCTGTTGTATATTATTGTGTAATGTACATCATGTGTTTTCTTATAAGTAACAGAAACCAGAGGACCTAGCTGCAATTAATAGCTACCTTTGTATTTCAAAACCAGAATAATTTTTAAAACAAGGTTCTACTGAGCTTCAGGTATATGAACATTTGATGCTGGTTCTTTATGAAAAACTCAGACCTTCAAAAAAGAGAGCTGAGGAAAAGCATTATAGTTTCAAATCTTAAGATATATGGGAACAGTAATCTACACATTCAGACTGTCATATGCTTCCCCAATAGAGCTCATTCTAGGCAGAATCACAACAGTAATTATAAGTAATTCCCTATCTTGGGACAGAATGTTGACACCTTTTTTTCTTCTAAAATTTGCACTTTATCATTGAGCTAGAAACCTGGTCCATAGTCCATTGAAGTCAATAGAAAAGTTCCCTCTGTTGTAATGGGCTTTGGGTCAGGTGCTAATTGATAAATTCCACTGACTCTACTCAGTAGAAATATGTTCTATATAAACTCAATACTTTCTGACACTATAACATGTCAAAACAGGAAAGATATAAGAGAAAGAGTTATCTCTACACCTGGGTTTATCTAAAGCAAGGAAAGATGTCACTGAGATGAGAGAGCTAAGAACAAGAAAGGAGTTGGTAACTGGAGCAAGCAAGATGAACAGGGTCTGAAACCATCAAAGGACACATGTTATTTTAGGTACATTTACTCTTCCCCCTCTTCATTGACCAGCTGTATGATCTGAACACTGGTCAGAGCTCATCAAATAGCAGAAATTCTTTCTCACTGCAGGATGATAACACAGACTTAATTTATAGCTTTATCAAGAGAATGAGCATCTGAAATGTCAAAAAAACAAGTTGTAGACACTCAGACCCTATTGATTTTGTTTACTATAGCCAAAATGTAGTTGGACACCAAGAGAAGGAAATGTATGTACATGGAAATCTTTCAAATGCCATACTTTCATACTCTAATAAGGGATTATGTTATTTTATTGGCTTTCTTATCATTATATACATATTGGCTGCAAAAGCACCACCAAACCAAATTTCACTAGTCCCGATCAAGAAAAGTTAATTTTGCATGTTATAACTACAAGTGAAACCTTTACTGTCTGGGATGTTGGGGGTATGGAAGTTGACAGTTACAGTCCAATATTCTGATTAACTAAGAGTCTGAAGTGTGGTAAGGAGCTCCAAGCTGAGGCAGGGGTGTGGGATGTGGGGGGAGGTATAGACTCTGGGCTGGGGTATGGGTTCTGGGGTGAGTCCAGAAATGAGGGATTCTGGGTATGGGAGAGGTATCTGGGCTTGGGCATGGATGGGGGTTGGGTGCAAGAGGGATGAGGGCTCTGGCTGAGTGTGTGTACTCTGGGGGAGGGGGCTGGAATGAGGGGTTTGGAAAATTGAAGGGGCTCCAAGCTGGAGCTGAGGGGTTATGAGTGTAAGAGGAGATGAGGGCTCATGGAGGAAGTTTCAGTGCAGGAGGGTGCTCAGGGATGTGATGTGGGAGTGGGAGGAGGTGCAGGACATGGGCTCCGAAAGGAAGTTTGGGTGCAGGAGGGGGCTCAGGACAGGAGGCTGGGGTACAAGAAGTGCTGGATCCAGATGGTGCTCACCTAGGGAAGTTCCCCACAAGTGGTGACATGTCCCTGCTGCTTCTAGGCAGAAGCGTAACTAGACAACTCTGTGCACTGCCTTTGCCTGTAAGTGCTGCCCCTGAAACTTTCACTGGTTATGGTTTCTAGCCAATGGGAGCTGTAAAGCTTAGACTTGGGTCTGAGCAGGGGCTGGGCACAGAGACCTCATGACTGTTCCTCCACCAAAGAGCATCAGGGGCATGTCGCCACTTCTAGGGAGCCACACGGAGCAAGGCGGGGAGCCTGCTGGCCTTGCACCAACTGAACTATAAACCGAACTATCAGTGAAGATAAAAAATGTCAGTTTATAGAGCTTTCTGGTTAGTACAGAGCTGGATAGAACAGCTTTTACTGTATAATACTCCTCTTGTGTTTTGTCAGTCTATTTCCGAGATAATATAGGGTTTAGCACAGAAGCTGTGACAATTTGTAGAACTCCTTTTGCAGAAAAGGACACTCTACACAGGTAAAAATCTTATGAATTGGAAGGAGAATGATACGATTAGCCGTGGAAGAAACATCATTAATCTTAATGGAAGATCTAATCAGAACAGCTAAATAGTTAACACAGAAGTTACCAGGTTGGTAAGCTAAAAGACCAGAAATATTATGGACCACAGCAAAATGTATTAACAAAGTATTTGAAACCAACTTTTCAAGTGGTCAAACCCTGAAAGAGAAAATGGGTTAGACAGACAAAAATCCTAACAGCAAATAGTTTTAAAAACTTAGGAAAGAGACTCACTATAGTTTGCAAGATCCAGATAATCATGGTAAGAAGCACTATGTCAACCCTACACAAAACAATGTCCCAGTACGATAAGGAAGCCCAATGTGAAAACACACCTCTGACAGCAATTCTCTTTTATGTGAATGTCCTAGCCAGATGAAAGCTTTAGAGACTCCTTTGGAAGCCATATGAAACAATGGGAGACTATCACCCATTCAGACAGGATTGTGAGGCGGCTACATTCCTAGAAAATCTTTATTCCTGCTCCTAAGTAACCTTTCCACCAAACGAAATACTTAATGAAGCACAGCAATGGGGCAAAATTGTCAGCAAAGAGCAATAATTTATGTGCCCTGTTTTGTGTTAAAAATAGTTTTTCTATTTTAGAGATTTCTGTATCTGTCTGTAGAATAGTGATAGAAATGTAGCCGTGTTAGTCTGGTGTAGCTGAAACAAAATACAGGACTATGTAGCACTTTAAAGACTAACAAGATGGTTTATTAGACATTTCTAACTTAGAGAGTCTCATCTCAAGACAAACATCCACACTGACTGACTGACACCTTGCAACCAAAGCTCATCATCTAATAAACCATCTTGTTAGTCTTGTATTTTGTTTCTGTATCTGTCTGTGTGTCTGTTTATGAATCCATTTGTTCAGGAACTCCTAAAAGGTAAGAGCTAGAACCACCAAATTTGGTATGCAGCTTTTGCTTATCCTAACTTAAAGAAAGGGTTGGTTATGCTAGGGAAATGGGATGTGTCTGGAATTCAATTGTTTTCCATCACATGGGAAGGGAGGGTGCTGAGCAGAGGGACGCTATACTCACAGTCACCACTGGGGGCAGTGAGCACAGGGGACAACTACACAGAGTGACCACTATGGCCAGCTGCACCACCAAGGGAGTGGCCAGTTGGGGATGGGGCTCACCATCTTGTCTGGCACTGGCCCAGGTAAATGGTCCTCCTGCCCCAAACCCCTTCCCTTAAACCTTGGCCCCAGCGTCAGACCAGGGAAGGGCAGGAAAGCTGCTCTGGCCTCACCACCATGCCCCCACCCACCAAGCACCACCAGGGCTGGGCAGCATAGACCCAGCCTCTACCACAGGAACCACAGCCAGCACCACTACACACTAATGGCTGTCCAGCACAGATGCAGCTGTCTAGCTGTGCTGCCCCTCCTCTTCCCCACTCCAGAGCCGGGTCAAAAGGAATGCTGATACAGAGAAAATCAAGCATTACTCTTTTCTCACCTCATCATTAACTAAGCAGTGATGTAAACCAAACAATGCTTAACTTTCTTTTGATCCATATTTGATACCAAGAATTATGTAAAAGAGCAATCTATCTGCTGACTCCTGACTACTGCTTCCCTAGGAAAGCTAGAAGCAACACTTTCAGTAACACACTATCCTTTAGGAACAAGCACTGAATATATCATATCTGTTTAGAATGCCCTTTGGGAGCCTTCAGGAAGAAAGGTGCCATAAATGCAAGCTCATTATCGTCAGCTCCTTTTATGCACCACCTGAGCACCAAATCAAACAGGAAAAATATATAAAAAATTAAAAATACATTCCCCTTGCTCTTCTTTTTCCTGCTTGTAATATTTTTCTGCTCATAAATATTTTATTAGCTAAGACTTGCTATTTATTAAACACTCTAAGAATCTCCTTGACCCCTTAACTATACCAAATGTTCTTTACATTAGTGAGAAAGAAATGTCTTTATTATTATGAAACATTTAACACGATGGTGCCTGATGCACACCACTTGTTTTCAAGTCTAGGAAGCTCTTATAATTGTCACTGTTGCACCTCTCAAACAAAGTATACAGGGGCCTCAGAGTAACTGAGAATGTTCAGAGCTCCTTAGGAGAGGTGCTTTCTGTTACAATGCATTAATAACAATGCCTTGCACAACAAGGTCTAAACTTGGTTGGGGCAGTAAGGTTCATAATCTCAAAGGTACTTAGGGGCCTAACTCCCATTAAAATCAACAGGATTTGGTGCCTACATACTTTTGAGGATCTGGCTACAAACACAAGTGGGGCTAGAGGATTCGTGAGGGATCACAACAACAAAGGAGGGGAATGTCAGGGGCTTCTGTCCTGCAATGTGAAGGGTCCCTTAGTAAGGCCCTCATTCTTGGAGATCTTGGATGCACATCTTCTCCAATAGGTAGCTCCCTTCTCCAATGGTGAGTGAGGTAACACTGATGGAGAGGAAGATTGCTCGGGTTTAGTGTGGGATCCTGAGACTCTAGTGCCTACCAATTCATGGCTCCTTCGGGTCTCTCCCCCCACCCTAGTGTGCAAGTAAATGCCAAACAGTTCAGCTCCTCCGCCATCCGCAAGCGTCCACTCGGTGGTCAGTGGCAGGCTTGGGACCAGAGCACGAGGAGCTGGCGAAGGGAAGGGGGCAGGATGGGAGAGGAAGGAACAGGAGCGCTGCAGGCAGCGGAGGGAGGTGGAAGAAGACAGCAGCAGCAATACCAGCTGGGATCAATGTGGGCGGGGAGAGAGCTGGAAAATTACAGCAGGGACACCGGGGAGGGGCAGGGGGTGTGTGGGGCAGCAGCAAGGGCGTGGGAGTGTTTGCGCCTGCAATGTCCAGGCAGCTCCTGCGCGGGTCTGACCTTGCACGTCAGGATTATCCGGGCTGGGGCTAGCAAGCGCCTTGCCCCGGGAAGTGGGGGAGGGGGGAGCGGCGCAGAGGGGGCGAGGAAACGAGCAGCCCGGCTCGCCTGTCGCATCTGGGGCAGCAGGTCGCGCGAAGAGCCGCTGTGCCGGGCCCCTAGAGTGGCGCGTGCGCACTGCGGGCCCGGTCCCTCCTCCCCCAGTGGAAGCGGCTACAAAGGGGAGCGGAGGCGGCGGGCGGGTTGAGCGAGACGCGAGCCGCCGGGGGAAGCCGTCTCCTCCCAGCTCTGCCCGGAGGGAGCGAGGAGCGGAGCCACCCAGCTCGCAGGCACCTCTCCTGCGGCCACGCAGCGCCGCGCTAGCTCGCGTCTTCCCGCCCGGGCCAGCGGCTCTCGCCGCCCCTTCCCTTCCCGCCCGTAGTGCTGGCGAAGGGGAAGCAGCCGATCAACACGTTACTAGGGACTCCCGGGGCTGCTGCTCTCCTCTGAGCTGGCAACAGGCAGGAGGAGCCACTTGGCTGCTGCTAATTTCATGATCTAATTTCACCTTGCAGTGCCCCCCCCCGCTCAGAGGCGATCGCTAATCCCAGAGTTTTGCAAAGCTCTTAAGCACCCTGCGCTGCAGGCAGCAACCTGTTTACTCTGAGGCGCTGGAGACGAGGAATTAGTGTTGGCAGTAACCTGGCAGGGGAGAGGGGGGTTGCATTTCCGCAGCGATCTTCCCGTGCAATAAAGGCAAGGCAGCGGGACAGAGACAGGCACCAGCCAGAGGATGTGCATAGGCAGCTCCACACCCGGGCCGGTGCAACTGCTCCCACAGACGGCAACGGGAAGGGCAAGGGCGGAGTGATGGATGTGGGGCTGCCTCTAGTGTTTGCACTTGCCACCTTCATTCGGAGCCGTTGATGCAACTTCTCAAGGTTTGTCCCGGCAGGTGAGAGGGGACACGACCCGTCCTCGGCGTGTGGCTTGTTTTCTCTTCCTTTGCTGGCCGGTTTCGCGCGCCCTTCGGGACATTTGCTGCGGAAATGAATCGAACTTGAAAGGCGCAAAGGGTCGAGAGTGTCCTTTCTACCCACCCTCCTCCTCACCGTCCCCGCTTTCCCCCGCCGGCCGGCGTGTGTGTTTGGCAGCAGCAGCGACATGGGGCTAACTCCCAACGCCAGCCGCTTGGGCGGCTGCTCTTTATAAAGAGAGAGCCGCTGGGTGCAACCACTCACCGCCATGCAGCCCCACGGTGCGCTCCTCGCATTTGCCCTGGGCTTGCAGCTGCTCGGAACTTTGACTCCCTTCGCCCCTGTGGCCGGCCCCCAGGCACCCTTCGCCCGAGCTGCGGTGGCGGGCAGAGCGGATCGCGAGGCAGACAGCGGCCAGCAGCATGCAGCCCGGCGCCGGGCAGCCCCTGGGCTGCTCCAGCAAACCCCACCGTCCCCCAAAGAGGGGAGCAGCCGGACCGTCGGCGAGTTCCGTTTAGGAAGCGGTGCCGGCAGGTCCAGAGCAACAGCACCCCGTGCAGCGGCGGGAGAGGCTGCGTCGATGCACAGTGCTAGGGACTTGGCTGCTGAAGCTGCCCTGCACTTGGGCGCGAGGAGCAGCAGCGGCGGATTTCCTGCCGAGGAGCCTAGGGGGCAGCCTGATACCCCTTGGCAGGACGCTGGCGAGGGGAAGGGGAACACGGGCCGGCCGGTAGCTCTGGGGACCGGAGGATGCCCTACTCCCCAGGGCGTTGCTGGGCACAGGGAGGAAGGTAGCAGCACAGTAAGGCGCAGCCCCAAGACGCTTGCTAGGAGCAGGAGAGGAGCCAGCGAGCTGCAGGGCAGGGGCAAGGGAGGAGGGGGAGGGAAAACCAAGAGCCCGAATAGCAACCTGGCAAAGCCTTTCAACAGCTCCCTGGGCAGCCCGGCTCCTCCAGCCGAGGGCGATGGCGAGGCGGAGGAGGAGAGTGCCCCTCAGTTGCTGCCCTTGAATGGCTCCTCCCGCGATGGGCTAGAGAGGGGCGCTGGAGCCCGCAGCAACAGGACCAGCCGCCGGGCCCGGCTCAAGAACCCTTTCTACCCGCTGACGGAGGAGTCGTACGGCGCCTATGCGGTTATGTGCCTGTCGGTGGTGATCTTCGGCATCGGCATCATGGGCAACATGGCAGTGATGTGCATCGTGTGCCACAACTACTACATGAGGAGCATCTCCAACTCCCTGCTGGCCAACCTGGCCTTCTGGGACTTCCTCATCATCTTCTTCTGCCTGCCCCTGGTGATCTTTCAGGAGCTCACCAAAAAGTGGCTGTTGGCAGATTTCTCCTGCAAAATCGTTCCGTACATCGAGGTAATTACAGTTGTTCATAATAATATCGATAAGAATAGTAGCTTACATTCGTACAGGGCCTTTGGTCCCACAGTACCTTGAAAATTTATACTCTGGTAGTAAACTTTCAACACAAGGATCCTAATCCCACCCACAGCAACCATGTCTGCAGAAAGAGGAAGTCTCTAGTAGCAAAGAGAGAAGAACCGTGTAGTTGGTGTGTCCATGTTTTCCATAACTAGGACTTGCTATGTATTACTAGCATAGTACATTGACAGCTGCTGAATAGAGGCATTGTCTGTTGCGTGTGTAGGGGCAATAAGCCCTGTTTAGAACAGTCAGATCACTAGGTCTTCTGTATGTCTCATCAAAAAGATTAGCTTGTCTATCCCCTCATTTTTTTCCGTCCACAATTACAAAAAAATATTACTTGTGGAGAGTGGCAGTAAAATGTGCTGTAATAAATGTGCATAGAGTGCTTGTGATGAATCTTTACTACCATCCCTAAACTTTTTAAAATAATTAAAAATTAATTTATTTGCCCCCTCCCACACACACACACATTTGAACAAGAAATTGAGGAATAAATTAGCAGCTTTACAGAGCTACTAATACTTTGCTGTTTCTCACATAGTCACACAATCTGATAAAAGATACTGCTTTAACTGAACTTCTGTTGCCTCTTGGGGCAAAAATTGTTTGTCTTTCTTTTTGCAAAGCTTATCCTGCGGTGAGGGAGGTGCCTTTATAGTCAAAGAACCGTGAATGTGATATGTGCACTATTCACTTCCCAATCCCACAGTTATTCATTTGATTTTTCTTAAAACATGACCCAGGTTCAATGTAATTCCTAGTCTCTTGGCAACTGTTCAGATACTCTGCCAACCAAGCTTTCAGCCAGCTGGCCAGAAACCTGCTGCCATTCAGGTTGTCCACTTTATTTATTTACTGGAAGCAGAACTTGAGCTTGTTGGTAATGTGTAGCCCTTAATTCTGGCAAGCTGTGCTATGTGGCTTTGACACTGTATGTATAGCATTATTCCTTTACTAAAAGTATGGGGTAGGTCAGCAGAAAATAATTGTTGATCAGCTAGTCCCTTAGTGGCTTATTAGGCATGCTGGAAGCCATGTTTTCTTGAATTAATATTTATAGTGTCCGTTTCCAGCATTTAGGAGCATTGAATAAAATATAAGTAAATAAATAAATGGTGACATATTTTAGGGATTAGGATTGGACATGTAACACTTAAATAGCTGCCATTGCTTCTTTATATTAGATAAGTGTATTATTGGTGTTACTGGGGATTGTGCTATATTCTGATGCATCTGATTTGCTTGGAGTTTAGTGGTTGACAGTTTCCATGACATGGTAAACTTAGAATGTACTTAATGTTGCCAAATTTATGAACTAGAAAAATCAAGCAAATTTTTGTTGACAATGGATGGCTAGTAATACATATAATAGTGGCCATAAAATTGAATTTTGTTATTTTAAAAGTCCAGTATGCTAGTAATTAATACACCAAATGAGTAGCATCCATTTACATGAAATTGATATCTTCTAATCGATATTAAAAAATATTCCAAGACTTCCCTCCAGTGTTATTTCACTCCACCTGTTTTTTCTATGCTGCATTTTCATACACAATTGAAAGCATCTTTTTCTAGCATTGTAATGGCGATTCCTGTTAGATGTCAGTGATTTAAAATGGCTTTTGTGTTCTCTATTATCTAACAATTGTATAGGATAGTCAGTTTGTTCTTGAAATTTTAATTGCTTAGATTGTAAAAGTTTGAGTTTGCAAAAGA